CCTGGGGGTGAGAAAGGGCATGAGGACGGGGAACAGCCGACCAGGCCCTGTGCTTCGGGCTGGAGGAGCCCGGCCCAGCCGCGGGAGAAGCACCGACAGAGCGCGGGCGGCCTGCTGGGTCTGGGTCCAGGCAGGCCCCTCCTCGGGAGAGGGGAGCGCAGCAGGTCAGAGGGACGAATCAGAAACCAGGACTGCAGGCTCGGTGGTGCACACCTCCACCCAGCAGTCCTCCCGGGAGGCTGAAGCAGAACCACCACAGGTTGGAGCCCCGCCTGGGCTACAGAATGACTGAGTGAGACCCTATCTCACACTAAAAAATAAAAAAGGGCTGAGGATGTAGCCCCGTGTGAAGGCCCTGGGTTCCACTCCCCATCAGTGGGAGAGCAGAGAGGGAGGGGCCATAAGAACAGAGGAACAAGGCAGGGCTGGTGGCGCACGCCTTTGATCCCAGCACTCAGAAGGCTGAGGCAGGAGGATCGCTGTGACCAGCCTGGGCTGCACAGTGAGTTCCAGGTCAGTCTCAACTACATAGTGAGACCCTGTCTCAAAAAACAAAACAAAACAAAAAACCCCAAAAAACAAAAAGAACAGAGGAACAAGGCAGGGCTGGTGGCGCACGCCTTTGATCCCAGCACTCAGAAGGCTGAGGCAGGAGGATCGCTGTGACCAGCCTGGGCTGCACAGTGAGTTCCAGGTCAGTCTCAACTACATAGTGAGACCCTGTCTCAAAAAACAAAACAAAACAAAAAACCCCAAAAAACAAAAAGAACAGAGGAACAAAATCCAAAGGAGGGGCTCTTGGTGGCCCAAACCCTACCCGGCCCCTCCCAGCCCTCTCCCTTCCTCCCTGTCCTCCACGTGGCCATCAGAAATCCTCATCTCACTGCCAGGGAGAGGCCCTGCCCCTCCAGAGTCCCCACAGGAGTTACTGCCCTTGGGCCTAATGCCCTGGCCCCCCTCCCTTCCTCCCTGCTGTCTGCCTCCATCAGCGACCCCATCTGCTCGACCCACCCCACCCCTGCCCTGCCTCATCGAGCACGGCCTCCTGAAGGACAAGGCCAGGCCTTATGCACACTGTCCCCAGTGCCAGACTGTGTCTAGCACAGAAGGCTGCTTGAGCTGGCTGCCTTCGTGAGCCGCGAGCCATGGCCGGGTGCCAAGCTGACACCAAGAAAGCTCAACAAGTGGCAAAGGACAAGCAGATGGCATGCAAGGCCAAGTCCGCTGCCCGCTGCTGCTGGAATGGGCCTCCCGGGACCTCTCCTCTCTGACTGCCACCCCAGGAAGGACCAGGCAGGCTGAACTGTGGACAGGGAAAAGGACCAGTCTCGGCCTGTCCCCTGCACATGTGCTCTGGCCTGGCACCAAGCCGCCAGCAGCAGAAGAGCACAGGTGACGAAGGGGCAAGCAGGGGCCTCAGGGACCAGGTTCCCTTATCTTCTGCCACCCAACTCGGGTCCCCTCTCTCTGGAGCTCTAGGAGGGTTCCACACCAAGGTGTTCCCCAGTGAGGTCAGTGGAGGGGACAACAGTACCCACACTGCCTGGGGCAGGAGGTTTCCCACGGAAGGGAACCCCTGCAGGAGCGGGTGGCTGGGGGCTGAGCAGGAAGGAGGCCCCGACTTGCGCCATGCCCAGTGCCCAGACATCACAGAGTCAGGCTGTTATCTACCGAGGGACAGGGCAAAGGAGGGGGAGAAAAGAAGGAAGAATTAGAAGGGGGGTTCGGAGGAGGCAGTTCCCATTTAGACCAAAGGGGACCTAAGTGGTGACGTCACGATTCCCTGTGGACGGGAGCAACCACACCATCCCCAGGTGGCCCCAAAGTCACTCCGCCCAGCCCCTCGCCTCACTGTGCACAGCCAGCTGGGAAGACCAGACTGGGTGCCTCCGGTGAAGGATTCTCAGCTTCCTGCTCTCATCCACTGAGTGCTTTATGGTCCCAATGCCAGGAAGTCATTCCACACTAATCTGCACTCTCCTTTGGCCCCAGGCTAAGATGAGCCTCCCCAGCCCCTGAACACAGAAAGGCTCCTCCAGGCCAGGCGAGACACCGGAGGCCCGTGGCCAGCAGAAGGCGCGAGTGCAGCTTCTCATACCTGCTTCTCGCGGTGGTACAGGGAGGCCAGAGTGTAGGGCAGGATCTGCAGGGCCGAGAAGGTGACCCCGGTGAGGGCGGCCGAGGCTGTCACCACGGCCACACTGCGGGACAGACACGTGGCACCGGCGGCCACAGGGAAGGCTGCCACGCTGGCCAGGTAGACGGCCCTGGTGCCGAAGAGCTGCACCAGCCGGTCCATGCCGAGGGAGAAGAGGAGGGAGGTGGCGCACTGCAGGAAGAGCCCCAGGCTGCCCATCCGCACACCTGGGGGGCAGGAGAGGGGTCAGGGGAGCTGGGGCTGCGGCCAGAGCACCTGCTCCCCACCCCTGTCCACTCCACCTGCAGCAGCGGGCACCAAGGTTTGTCTGGACCCTCAGCAGATGTGGCCAAAGCTGGTGGCAAAGGGCACGGAAAGTTGTTCTCAGGGAGATGTGTGAGCACTGGGGACAGCAGGCCAAGGGGGGACACAAAGACAGCATAAGCTTCAAGGTGGTTCTAGGGCTACGGGTAAGGCCCAGCAGGAGCACGCCTGCCAGGCCTGTGCAGGGCCCTGGTTCTGAACCCCACACCACAAACAGAAACAAGGAAAGACAGTGCTCTGGAGCATTTCCAGAGGTTATCTGGATGGTCAGCAGGGAAGGAGGGGCCAACCTGAAGGTGGAGCCAGCCAGACCTGAAGTCCAGCTTTGACTCCTCCACTCCCTTTGGGCCTTGAATGCACTCAGCTCTCCCTCTGTCAAAGTGGGGTCATGAGTCTGACTGAACTCAGAGCAGCAGCCGTCTGCAGATGGGGTCCCTTTGCCTCTCCCGACAGAAAAGTTGGGACTCAGGCTATGAGCAGCTCCCAACCCTGGAATGGCCCCCGGAGGGCCCTCTGCAGGCCGGAGACCTTACCTTCGTCATAGTGTCTCCGGGCCTCGGTGCCTGGCTCGGCTCTGGGCACACCCTGGTACAGTCCCTCACCCACGAAGTCTGTGTAAAAGAGTGTGAAGGTCATGAGTGCCATCCAGCTACACAGCTCGGCCACAAACAGCCGGCGCAGGGTGCGGGGCGTGCGGCAGCAGAGCTGGTGCAGCCGAGGAAGCAGGGCGTCCAGGTTCTGGAGAGCCAGGCGGGCACGGCACGGGCAGCAGCGTGGCCCCGAGGGCACCGACCGGCCTTCCACCGCCTCCACCGGACCCAGCACCGCCTCCTCCACCACAAACAGCGTGGCTGCCACGCAGGTGAGGAAGATGAGTGTGAGCAGGCCGAAGAGGCACTCTTCCTGGGTGCCCAGGTACGGGGCCAGGGCACTGGCGTCCCAGTCAATGGCGGGCAACAGGTAGCCCAGGCAGCCCCCGAGGCTGATCATGAAGGCGTAGACGGAGAAGGCCTGGCGGCAGTGGTCGGGGTCCCGGAAGAGGTCGGACAGCAGGGCCTCCAGCGGTGTGAAGCACACCTGGCCGCAGAAGTCCAGCAGCCCCACGCCCAGGATGAGCAGGGCCAGCTCCAGGGGCCGGGTGTCCGGGCACAGCAGCCCCGCCAGCCAGCCGGCCCTCGGGATGAGGAAGAGGCTGAGCAGCACGCCCAGGGACAGTGCCCAGATGAAGGGTCTCCGGCGGCCGTAGCGTCCACGCCACTAGTCCAGCAGCCCCGCCCAGGATGAGCAGGGCCAGCTCCAGGGGCCGGGTGTCCGGGCACAGCAGCCCCGCCAGCCAGCCGGCCCTCGGGATGAGGAAGAGGCTGAGCAGCACGCCCAGGGACAGTGCCCAGATGAAGGGTCTCCGGCGGCCGTAGCGTCCACGCCACTGGTCACTGGCCGATCCCAGGAGCGGCACGAAGACCAGGCCCAGCACGGGCCCGATGCCTGCAAGAAGGGAGGGTAGACAACGTCAGGGCTGGGACAGAGACGGGGTGAGAGGCTAGGGGTGCCACTCCCCGGGAGAGGCAGACAGGGTGACATCACCCCTGGAAGACACAGTCTGTCTAGACTCTGGCTCTCAGTGTAATGAGGGAAGTGCGGCACAGAGCACCTGCGAAGGGACCCTTGTGCAGAGGCAAGGAGCTGGGTGAGATGGGACAGGATGTCCGGCCCGTTCCCTGCTCTAAGCGGGCGTCGTGAAGGGTAAACAGCAGGTCAGGAGAAGTTTTTCCAGCATCTCCCAGCAGCCCGGCAGCACACGGGGCACAGAGGCACCCGGTATGATGTCCCAAACTTCTCTCTCGGAGCACCCCGCAGCCCAGGGTCACCCCACTGCCCCTTGGGAGCTGCCTGCCTACACCCCAGGTGTACAGAACTGGGGTGACAAGAGGCGGATGGGAAACTCACCCAGCACCATGGTCATGAACCTCTCCTCCACCCCCACTTCCAGCAGCAGGGGTGGCACATAGGTGATGCCGGCAGCCAGGCACACCTCCAGGCCGAAGGTCAGCAGGTTGACCAGCAGGAGCTGGGCCTTCCGGTGCCGCAGCAGGCGGCTCCCCCACAGTCTCTGGCCCATGGTGGCCGGTCACGGGCGTGTGCTCCACTGCTGCTTGCTTTCAGCCCTGCTCCAGACGCTGCTGCTGAGGCTTCTCCTTGCTGCCACCGCCGAAGGTCTAGGACTCAGCCAGGCACCCATCTCCACCAGCTCTCCCGTGGTGCAGCCCCGGCATCTCAGCCCGTGCTAAACACCCGCTGCCGTGCAGCGCCTCGGTGGGGACACATCTTGCCAGTGGAAATCTGAAAGGGCAGGATGGTCACAGGAACACAGGGCGTTAAGTCTGGGAGCCAGGCCTCCAGGACTTGGCAATGATGTGGCCCTGCCCCCTCGGTGCCACCCCTGGCTGCCCGGTTGGTCAGGAAACGCATGATATGATTAGCGGGAGGTAAACAGAAATGACTTGTAAACCTCAGTACTCCCAGAACCCAACGGATGCCTCTTACTCTTGTGGAATATCTCTGCAATTGCCCTTGCCTGTGAGTGGGGAGAACTAAAATCTAACCAAATAAATCCCATGCCTAGGCCCAGAGGGGGACCCTCTGCTAGGCCTGGGTGGTTTGCTCAGCCCTCTCTGCCTCCCAGAGCTGGCAGCTCAATCCCCCTGTGCTGAGACACTTCCGATCCGATCTCATTCTACCTCCTGCTCCGGTGCTGTTACCACAACCCCCACACCAGGGCAGGGACAGAGGGGGAGGGAGGGAAGGCTGCGGTCGGCCAGGCTGGGTTTCAACCTGTCCCTGAAACCCTTGGAGACCTAAGTCTGAATACCTCTCCCTTGAGCTTCTCCCAAAGTCCACCGTGCACGGGGGAGGAGACGGGCCCACCCACAGGTGTCTCCAACTTTTTCAGAGCAGTGGGGTCATGTCCAGGTCCCGCTCTCACAGGGCCATGAAACTGCACCGCCCAGCCACACCTGTGATGCCAGTGACCCCGCCTTGGCGGGCAGCCTTTCCCCAGCCTCAGGCTTCCACTCTCAGCAGAGAAGTTCCCACAGGCAGCAAAGCCCACACTGCTCTCTGGGTCTTGCTTCCCATCAGCGGCTTCCTCTGCAGTGAGCCCTGCTGAGCGGTGACTACGAGAGGGAAAATCAGCCGGGTGTGAAGGTGCACATCTGTAATCTCAGCGCTGTAGGAGGCTGAGGCAAGAGGGTTGTAAATCCCAGCACAGCCTCAGTAATTTAGCTGCTTTCAAAATAGAAATTAAAATATTTTAAAAGGCTGGGGATATCTTAGTGCAAAGGTGCTGGCCCGATTCAATCGAAAGTCCCCCCCCAAAAAAAAAGAAAAAGAGGGAAAATCAGATCAATTAACAGAAGAGGTGGGGAAGGGCCAGGCGAGGCAGTACAAGCCGGCAATCGGGCAAGCCCTTGGAGACCGCAGCAGAAGGATCTGGGCCGGAGGCTGGCTGGGCTACACCGTGAGACCCCATTTCAAGAAACTAAAAATAAAATAAATAAAATAAATGAAAAGAGGAGGAGCGGAAGGAGGAGAGGAGGTCGAGGAGAACGAGGAGGAGCAACAGAGCGCAGGACTTCGCACCACTCCTCTTCCTCCCCCTCATCCCTTAAGTGCCGAAGTCTAGCTGGCCCTCTGCAGGGTCAAGAAGCCCAGCGCTGGCTCTGGGCCCCACGCCGCCACCCGCCACGCACCCCGAGGCCGGCCACAGCCTCTC